AAACAGGTTACGTATGGATGAAAACTTCTCAGGTTTTCAACCCTGATGTGTGGCCTAAACAAGCCGGGTGTTCAGATGCGCAGCGAACCTACAACGAGACTTGGTCATAATGATAATGATGATGATGATTTTTAATTTTAATGACTTAAAAAAAAGCAGAATTTCTTTTTACATGCGACAATAGGTTTAATTGCTAAAAACCTAAATTTCTTCTTACATGTGACAATAGAGTTAATTGTTTAAATAAAAATCCTAGATTACTCACGCAGAAATAAAGACCGATGCACTTTCGAAATTATTTAAATATGGCCGCCATTTTCCTGGTACGAGTGAACTAGTAATTAAATATTTACTTTTAATCATTTAAAATAGAATTCATTATTACACCTGACAATAGAGCTAATTGCTTAGATAAAAAAAACCTAGTTTATACTCCTACAGAAAATGTAACCAATGCAATTGCAAAAATTATTTACATATAGCAGCCATCTTGTGACAATGGCAGTAAATTAATTTGAAATAAAATAAATAACTTTGGTTTTCTTTTCCCATCGCCATTATAAATGATTAGAAAAGTCTTAGAATGGGAATGACCGGGTGAGGAAGAAATACCACCCACATTACACCTCTCAGAAATACCACACACATTTCACCTACCAGAAATATCCCCCACATTACACCTCCCAGAAATACCACCGACATTACACCTCCCAGAAATACCGCCAACATTACACCCCCCAGAAATGCCACCCACATTACACCTCCCAGAAATACCGCCCACATTACACCTCCCAGAAATACCGCCCATATTACACCTCCCAGAATTACCGCCCACATTACACCTCCCAGAAATACCGCCCATATTACACCTCCCAAAAATACCGCCCACATTACACCCCCCAGAAATACCGCCCATATTACACCTCCCAGAAATACCGCCCACATTACACCTCCCAGAAATACCGCCCATATTACACCTCCCAGAAATACCGCCCACATTACACCTCCCAGAAATACCGCCCATATTACACCTCCTAGAAATACCACCCACATTACACCTCCCAGAATTACCACTCACATTACACCTCCCAGAAATACGGCCCATATTACACCTCCCAGAAATACCACCCACATTACACCTCCCAGAAATACCACCCACATTACACCTCCCAGAAATACCACTCAGATTACACCTCCCAGAAATACCGCCCACATTACACCTCCCAGAAATACTGCCCACATAATAATAAGACATTAGCTTGATGAAGACCCTTTTGTCACTAACGTCTTTTATGTGGGAGTATTTCTGGTAGGTACATGTGGATAGTATATCTGCCGTACCCTTTATAAAACTTGGCATGTTCTTATCTATAGGTGATCTTGTTTTTGGTTTAGTTTGGTTTGGTTGTTTAAGGGTATATCAACATCCTTATGGGTCATTTAATGCCCAAATTTAATTTTGGGTGAGCTTTGATTTGATTTGTTTGTATAACGGCATATCAACATCCTTATGGGTCATTTAATTCTGAAATTTAATTTTCTTGGGAGTTTTGATTATATTTGTTTGTTTAACGACATACCAACATCATTATGGGTCATTTTATTGCCAAAATTTAATTTTGGGGGGAGCTTCGATTGGATTTGTTTGTATAACGGCATATCAAGATCATTATGGGTTACTTAATACTGAAATTTAATTTTCTTGAGAGCTTTGATTTGATTTATTCATTTAACGCCATATCAATTTGTAGCATACCTACGGACGATAATGGGTATGTCCCCATTCACATAAATACAGTAGTAAATATTTTATGTTGATCTGCAGTTAGAGATTCGTCTCCTGCTGTGCTGGTCAAACTCTCTGCCTCCGGGTAGAGAGGATCTCCAGACGGGGCAACGTCGAAGGGCAGAGTCTCGTCTCGGGAAACGGCCAACCGGCACCCTTTTATATGGGGTCTACGGGGAATTTTTGGCTGAGCCTACGAGCTTGGATACCCTACATTAAATTCGGCCTTGCGCCAAATCTGACCGCGTGGGGCGGTAGGTAGATATCCTGCAGTTGGAGATTCATTGTGGAATTCACGTAACTCACTTCGAGCAGTTGACCACTACTTCTTCGCGCTGCTGGCAAATCTTATATGTGTTGTTCTTGTTCTAAGTATTATCGTTCATTATCAAACTTCGTTTCATTATTCTATTCAGTAACCTTCCCTAGTTTACTACACAACTATTTATGGATAATTTTGTGTTTTTTACCCAAAAATTTATTGCTGCTAATTTTTTTACTATGAAAATATATTGCTGGGAATTTTTCTAATGTATTTTTGTATTTTGACTCCAATTTGGGCGTTCACTATTTGCCCATATCTGGGGCCCTAACAGATGCTACCACCCTGGGACATGCTGCATGTGGGAGCAACTGTAATTGCTCCTCAAACCCAACCAATCAGAGACCTTGCTGCTGGATGGTGTTTATTGTCATGCCCAGGGCGCAGGTGATCTCGTAGATTTTTTAACACTTCCTTTAGTTTGGGTGTGCTTTACCCTCTCGGCTACAAAGAGCGCCACAGTTCAGCAAAAAGGGAAAAAAATACTTCCTCTTGTATTTTAGACATATATGCATGTATGATACAATATTTTTCCTTCCATGCGAATTTAGGAATTTCCCAAGGCTATATGTTGGGTCGTACACTGTTTCTGATCTTCATCAATGATCTTCGTGACGTCATCAGTTCTCAAGTTGGGATCTATACAGACGACACTAGCATTTACTCCTGTCTCATTTGCAAAGCCGTCGGAGCTGACAAAATTAACCTGGCCGCTGCTCCTGAAAAGGATCTCTAATCAGTGGTTAAATTATGTAGTAAATGGCTTGTAAACTTTAATACACCCAGAACTAAACTGCTCTCATTTAACCACCATCGAGAAACTTCCCTTACCCCCATCATCGTTGGCGCTCGACTCCATAAGAGCGTCTCACTACGCCTTCTTGGTTTCACGTTTTCCAATGACTTGAGGTGGAACAACTACATTGACTCAATAGCTGCATCTACTGCAAGGAAAGTCGGTTCACTGTGCCGTGCCAGAAGGTTTTTCTCGTCAGAGTCCATCTTATACATTTACTAATCTACCATTCGTCCATGAATTGAATACTATTGCTATATCTGGTCTTGTCCCCCAGCTGTTCATCTCGAGGTTCTTGACAAAATCCAAAGAAGGATCTACAATGTAATCGGTCCTGACTTGGCATGTCGACTTCGGCCATTTTCTCACTGACGTAATGCGGTTTCCCTCTGTCTTTTCTACAAATATTTTCATGGTAACTGTTCTGATGAACTAGCTTCCCTGATGCCCCGACTACATGAGTTTAAACGTACTACTAGATTGGCATCTAGGTCCCACCCTTTTACTGTTGAAATAGTTAAATTTCACAGCTACTTCTACTCCAACAGTTTCTTTTCTTGCACTTCCTGACAGTAGAACTCCCTTCCACTTACTTGTTTCCCTGATAACTACAAAATTTATATGTAATGTCAATCGCCATATTCTGTTGTGTTGATCACCGTTCCTTTTTCATCCTTTCGTCAATCTCCTCCATACACAGTCTTTACTCTCACATTTACTGTCTGTAAACTCCCCACCCCTGCGTGTTAGTGACATTCCTGCATTGCTTGAGGTGAAATGCTTAAAAAAATGTATGTATAAAATGCAGACCAAAGATTTGGAGAGTGTCGATCATGAAAGGAAATTGCTAACACGAATAATGTTTCCTATGTAGTTCATTTGTGGGTCACCAAAATGAAGTAGCAAAAGCTCACTCTAAATTCAGTTCGAAAATACTGATCAAAATCCGCAGACATTAGGGAAGTACCTACTGTGTATATATTTGCGCTAAATATCAATGTCTACACTGCGTGCCAAATTATTATCGAGATAACTTTTTTTCTAATATTTCAAAAACCGTCCAATCAATTCACACAAAATTTCCACACAATGTTGGCAACACTGACCTGCGCAATCACTGAAATTTTGGAGCATCATGAAGCGAAGACTGTACGCCAACGGACGACATTTCAGGAGCAACGCTGAGTTATGGGAAGCAATTCTTGACATATCTCGCGGCATTACAGCAGATGACATCCTACAATTAAGAAATATCTATGGATCGTCGACTTCTTCAAGTAATTTCAAAACAGGGAAAGAACATTCCCTATTAATTTGTTTAAAACTGTGCCTTTGTTTGTATCTGTTATTATTTGTTTGATTATCTTATTTATTAGCTTCTTTTGGTCATAAACATTCACGTGAAACATTAATAAACGTTTTGTTTGATCAATTCTGGGAATTTTACTAAACCTTTCTAATAATTTGACACGCACAAATCACCGTGCTGATAACAAATATGGCGCCAGTTTGTTTACATTGCGCAGATATTTTGAAATATTAGAAAAAAGTTATCTCGATAATAATTTGGCAGGCAGTGTAGTCTGGTACTTCTGCTATGTATTTAGAGATTTTTTTATAAAATCCAAAGAAGAAGCTGCAATGTTATCGGTTCTCACCTGGCATCTTTCCCACTGCCATAACCTAGTTTCCCTTGCATTTTCTATAGATATTTTCATAGTAATTGTTCTGATGAGCTTTCCACTTTGTTACCTCGAATTTATGGATTTTTAGTGCAGTACTAGATTGACAGTTAGGTCTCATCATTTTGCATTTGAAATGTCTAGAAATAACTGGAAGTTCTTTGCAAACCGTTTCTTCTCTCGCAATATTTGCTTTTCTTAACTCTCTTCAGGCTTCTAGCTTCCTAGTCAACTTTGAGCTTCAAAAATTTAAATGCAATGTCAATCGTTATCTTCTGTCTTCTTAATTCATGTTTTTTTTTTTTTACTGTTCTCTCACCTTAAGAATTTTTTTCTTTTTCTCACTCATATTTCACACTGAGTAAGCCCCTTACGTCTTGGTGGCTTTGTTGCCTTTGCTCGGGATGAAATGATTTAAAAAATTGCGCGTATAAATAATATTTTATGCAAAATATCAGGATAGATAGATAGATAGATATGAAAAGACTTAGATAGATAGATAGATAGATAGATAGATAGATAGATAGATAGATATGAAAAGACTTGGTAGATAGATAGATAGATAGATAGATAGATAGATAGATAGATGTGTATGTAAAAATGATAGGACTTGCAAATAAATTACTGCACTTTTGAATATTTTTAATATGTAAAAATACGTGTAAAAATATGAGTCTTATTAAAAGAATGAGGAAAGTTAAAAATAAAAAATAAAAAAAGATAAAAAAATAAAATACTACGAATCTAAAATAAATCCTGCAAAAAGAAAAAGAGAAAGAGATAAAAAGAAAGGACGGCGTAACAGTATTTACAATAAATGGAGAAAAAAAAAGAAGGAAAGACATCCGAAACAGGAAGGTTGAGAAAAAAATGTACCCGAAAGAAAGAAGAAAGCAAAAAAAAAAAAGAAAAGAAAAAGGTAAAGGAAACAGTGTGTGTGAAATGAGGCGGGATTGTAGTCAAGAAGAAAAAGAAAGCAAGAAAAAAATTCCAATCTTTTTTATTTTATTTTTTTTTATTTACTTTTTTTTTTTATTTTTTTTTATTTATTTTTTTTTTTTTTTTATTATTTATTTATTTTTTTTTATTTTTATTTTTTTTGCTTAATATCCGTCTGTTTGTCCATCTGTCTGTTTTTACCGTCTGTAACTCAGATTTATTCTTGTACATCACTACTTATTCATCAGTATTTCTGTCTGTCTTTCAGCCTGTCTTTGTTCTGCTGACTGTATATCTGTCGGTCTACATTCCAGTCCCTTCTGTCTGTCAATGCGAGGAGGAGAAACGTTATATAATAAATACAATGACGTCACATATGTCCGTTCCGTACAAAACGAGCAGCACAAAAACGGTAAAGACCTATTAAAGGATATTATTCCTACTGCCATAACAGGTTCTGCTGTATTGCTGCTGCTAAGGCAATTACTACTACTGTTTCCGACTACGACTACTGCAAAAAAGAAAAAGAAAAAAAAAAAGAAGGGAGAGATCTAAGAAAAGAAGAATATTATTGACCGAACGACTATTTTATGTTTTTAGCCCTGAAACAATGTCCGTATCGAGTTACACTCATTCGGAAGACTGGGTTGCGCCAATATTGAGTAAAATACAGCATTGTGAATTGCCTCTTTTCATCCCAAACATTGATATTTCAGATATTCACGTTTATCTTTTTCAACTTGGCATAATAATAGTACAATTGTTTTATATATATATATATATATATATATATATATATATATATATATATATATAACGAATCAAATTTCAAAGCTAAGCTGTTTTCAGCTTCAATCATCGTTTTTATCATTTAAGACGTAACTTGCAGTAGCAGGGAAGACCCGCCTCATATGGAATATATAGAGCGATCACACACACATACACACAGGCACACACACACACACACACACACACACCCATATATATATATATATATAATCTGAACAATGATTTTGTAATATATATCTACGTAGTAAGACTTGTAAGACATAGATAGATAGATAGATAGATAGATAGATAGATAGATAGATAGATAGATAGATAGATAGATATGAAGAGACCTAGGTAGATAGATACATAGATATGAACAGAGAAAGATAGATAGAAAGATAGATAGGAACTAACGTTTTATATCCGAGATTGATCATTCTCCATTTATAAATCTAATATATCGAACACACACACACACACACATATATATATATATATATATATATATACTTGTGGTTGAAAAAATAGGGATTCCCAAAAATAATTTTGATGAGTCATCAGATTTTAGAAGGTGGTTCGAACCGAAAGTTTTTCCCCACACATTAGTGCTTATATATATATATATATATATATATATATATATATATATATATATATATATATATATATATATATATATATACACGGCTTAAAACTTGCTATATTGATAGAGGAAAGAGTGTCCATTATCGGTGCCTGTCCGTTTGCCTGTCTCTTTATCTATATATTTATCTATATCTATTGGCTATCGATATATTTCCAAGAAAAATCTGCCCAAATATTTTTTAAATAAACAAATTATTTTCATCTGACATCATAAAATCCGATGATGTGTTTACTGCCTTTACGACCTTCCTCTTTGCGCGTGTATATTTGTTGTGTTTGTCTCTGTGTCCGTGTGTCTGTGCTCGTATGTGTCAGTGCGTTCGGGCACGCGCGTGTGTGTGGCGGTGTGCATTGTCCCTCACAATATTGTATCGTATTAATAAGGTCCTTATTAGTATTACGCTTTATTCTACTTTTCAGAATTTTCCCCTAACCCAATTATATAAGCGCGTGAGTACGTGCGTTAATGTTGGACCGGAGGTTCTCTCGGTCCATTTTGTCGTAACAAGTCTTCATTTTAAAATCAAGGCTTGGCGTTTTATTTTAGATCTCTCTTGACCCTCAGTCGCTTCATCTCTTACTTTAGACATCAAAGCCATTGTAGCAAAAAGAATTATTAAACGAAACGATAAAGTCTGGTGTTTGCCGCTGTCGTCTGGCTTGCAAATTTAATGGAATACAGTATATGTCGCTGACATTGATTAGACTAATCGCTGACGGAAAAATTAAAACTCCTTTCTATTTCCTTAGTTTTGAATATTGTTTGATAACGAGTATCACCAACCTTAGTCTATAATGTCTCTAGAATATTTACCTTGTATCTTCATGCCAGCTGAAATTAATATCAGCTCAAGTCCCCGAAATCAACCCCAGGCAGGACCTCTACATCGGAACGATTCCGAACCCTCCGCCCAAGACGTCCCCAAAAGTGAAAGTGTCTAAGGAGACTTGCTCAATTATTTGTACATCTTTTCCGAAATCCCACATTAAGCTCCAACCTTGTTTCACGTTCTGTTGCAATGTGGACGCGCGGATAAATACCTACTATAGAATTTCCAGATATATTCCAGATATTTCAGTCCGCACCCGGTTTGTTATAAAAACTATGAAGGAATTGTTTATTTGTCCAGCATATAAATGTATTGCTGTTGTTATATGATGTATGCCACTTACACTTTTATTGTTGTAAATTTAAACGTTATTTTTAGTAGATACCCATATCTGAGTAGACGTTCTGTTTATTTTAAGTAGTATATTTGGTTTGGTTTGGTTTGTTTTACGGGATATCAACCTCAATCGGTTATTTAAAGTCGACAAAATTTTTATTGCTGGTAATTTTTTTCTCAAAATTGTATTGCTGTTAATGTTTGTTTTTGTTTTTTACCTTCAAAAATATATTTCTGGTAATATTTTTTTCAAAAATCTATTGCAAGTAATTTTTTCCAAAACCTCTATTGCAGGTAATATTTTTATAAAAATGTATTGCTGGTAATTTTTTTTTCAAAAATGTATAGTTGATATGTTTCCCAAAAATGTATTGCTAGTAATATTTTGTTTGTAATAATTTTCCTTCAAAAATGTATTGCTGACAATAATATTTCCCTCAGAAAAGCATTGCCAGTAACAAATTTTCCTTCAAAAATGTATTGCTGGCAATAATATTTCCTTCAGAAAAGCATTGCCAGTAACAAATTTTCCTTCGAAAATGTATTGCTGGCAATAATTTTTCCTTCAAAACTGTATCTCCGATAATAATTTTTCCTTCAAAACTATATTGCTGGTACTAACTCTTTCTTCAAAAATGTATTGTTGGGAATAACCTTATCTTCACAAATGAATTAATGTTAATAATTTTTTCTTCATAAAAGTATTATTGGTAATTTATTTTCTTGAAAATGTATTTCTGGTAATTATTTTTCCCTCAAAAATGTATTACTGGTATTAATACATCTCCACATTGTTTTGACCCCTGTTTGGGGGGGGGGTCAACTATTTGGCCATAGCTGGGACACTAACAAGTGCTACCACCCTGGGTCAGAGTGAACCTGAGAACACCAGCAATTAAGAGGTGTTTCCACACTCTTCAAACCTCCAAACAGAGGCCTTGCTTGTTTAATGTCTTACCCAGCACGCGGGTGTAGTTTATCGTCATACCCAGGACAAACAGTATATTTATTTTCGTCTATCGGAATGAACACTTGTGAAATCTTCTTAAAGAAAAATATTCATTCTCCGGCAGGATATGAACCTACGCCCACTTTTGCCAGAAGGCGTATATTTTCCTTTAATAAGATTACTTGAATATTCAGACCGGTAGACGAAAATAAATATACTATTTGAAACAAACGGATTGTCTACTCAAATAAGAATACCTGCTAAAAACAATGTTTAATGTTAATAAATAGAAAAATCCATTACTTATTTGGAACTTACTTAAGTCCAAGAGATCAATTTATAGACAAACACGGACCCACAAAAAACAAGATTTGGAAAATGTCTGATGCTAACTTCAAGGAGAACGACTCATGCGTCTTCTCGAACTAAAGTTTTTCTCTGACATGAAATGGAACGATTATATTGAATCAATTGCTAAATCTGCTGCTAGGAAATTTGGTTCACTTTATTGTTCTAGAAAACTTTTCTTACCAGAATCTTAGATCTTTACAAATCTACCATCCATTCATCCATTTAATATTGCTGCCACATCTGCTCTGGTTTTCCTACTATGCAAACTTTAGATAAGAACTTGACTGTTCGGGCTGCGGCTTTAGTTATCTCGAAAGCCCTCGGCAGGATTTGGCATGCTGATCTTCTTCACAAGTTGAAGAGCCATAGTGTCTCCGGCCGACTGTTTCATTTGACCCAACCTTTCTTTTTTATAAATCGTGTAATGAAAATTGTATTGAACAGCAACTCTTGTAGATCATCTCACATGAATGCGAGTTTCAGCACTCAGGGTTCTATCCTTGGATCTTGTTCATCAATGACCTTCCTGATGTCATCAGTTCGCACCTCTTATCTGTGCTGAAGACATACCTATTTACTCCTGTCTTAATAGTAAGTCACATAGGATTGGTATAGTAAAACTAACAGCTGATCTCGAAAACGTTTTTTAAATGAAAACAAAGAAATGGTTTGTAAATTGTAAGCCTCTAAAACGAAACTGCTGTTTTTTTAGCCACCTTAAAGAACCATTGTTGTCTCCCATCAGTATGGCTGATGCTAACCCTCAAGAGAGCAATTTATTGCATCTTCTCAGTATCACGTTTTTCACTGACATGATGTGGAACGATTATATTGAATCAATTGCTAGGCAATTTGCTAGGAAAGTTGGTTCACTGTGTAACACTTCAATTTGATCCTGGTTCTCAACTAACGGCCACAGATGTAACTTTTCGTCGCGGTCAGCCCGAGGGTGGATCCTGGTTTGATCGATAGAGTTATCTCTTCAATCCTGACCTACCTTACCCCACGTTGTGATTGATTTGATTATAAGGAGGCCAAGATCGATCCGTCGCAGGTATTTTCGTCTTGGGCTGGTCAAAGTCAAGCGAAGTCGTACAATAAATTTAGAAAAAAAAACAGCACTCGAAATATATATGAAAAATAATTACTATTTTTATATCAATTCTGCTTGTTGTCTCCCATCAGTATGGCTGATTCTAACCCTCAAGAGAGCAACTTATTGCACCTTCTAAGTCTCACGTTTTCCATTGACATGAATTGCAACGATTTTATTGAATCAAATGCTAGGCCTTGTACTAGGAAAGTTGATTCATTATGACATGGCATCTCGAATTCACTCACCTTCCCACCACCGTAATATAGCTTCCCTGTGTCTTTTCTATAAATATTTTCATAGCAATCGTTCTCATGGACGTTCTTCTATGGTGCCTAGACTTTATGAATGTAAGCGCAGTACTAGATTGGCTGCCAGGTCTCATCATTTTACAGTTCTCTAGATGTAACCGTAAGTTCTATGCTAACAGTTTCTTCTTTCGCAGTTCTTGTTTATGGAAAATTCTTTTGGCTTCTTGCTTCCCAATCAACTTTGATCCCCAAAAAATGTAAATTTAATGTCAATAGTTATCTTCTGTCTTCTTATCAAAATCTGAAGATAGTCTATCACAACCAGTGTCCAGTGATTCAATTAAAGGGGCTGAACTACGAATCTGTATCTTCCCAAACACTGCAAAAATGTCCCCCACTCCAAATCCTCTAAGGAGCTCTAAGCATATCGCCAAAGAATCGTACACACAAAAAACGAAAAATTAAATTAATTTGATTGTTTTTGAAACTGCATTCCTTTTCTTTTGCCGACATAAAGTATTCCAAATTTGCATTGTCAAAAACAAAAGTGGGAGAGAATGTTGTATTCATATGCAAATGTCCACCATATAAATAGCAGTCGATACAACTGGTGGCGAAACCAATCCTAACTTTGGCTGGGATCGGTTGGCCCAAGCTCCAGTGGTCTTTTCCCCGAGCCAGTACCTCTAAGCATCGACACAGCCGGTGGTGAAACCAGTCCCGACCTTGGGATTGATATGCCCAAGTTCTAGGTCGAGCTTTCCCCCGAGGCTGTACCTCTCGGTCTGGAGGAGGCTAGGTTTATTTCAGGCGTCCCCAAAAGGGGAAGTGACGAGGGGCTCTTGGGAATTTTTGCACAGTGCGGCCGATAAACCCACTTTAAACTTCGACCTTGTGTCACATCGGATTGTGACGTAGGCGAACTGGTAGATACAACTAGTACTGACATTGAAG